AAAATCCTGGGCTCTGCCCCTAGACTGTAAACAAACACTCCTACCCCCAAAATTCATAGTTTTCTTTTGGGTAGGGGGCAGATACTGGGAATTGAACTCAGGATCTTATGCTCGGCAGGCAGACGCTATGCCACTAAGCTAAATCCCTGTCCCAAACTTCAAAGTTTTTAAAAACTTAAATTAAAAAAAAGATATTTAATCTAGAAATCCTGATTGTGAAGGAACTGACTTTCATCAGTTCTCAGTTTCACCATCAACCTGCTACCACAGTTGTCCAGAAAGGTCCTGTCACATCAAGATTTCAGAGCAGCCAGTTGTAGCCCAGAAGCCTCTTCCCCATATTCTTTCTGGCTGGGAAGTATCTCCTTTTGCACATGATATCTCAACTTATTTGCTTCCATTTTTAATAGTGACTGTTTGAGGATAGGGTTATAGCACATTGCATGCACAAGGCTCTTTGTTCAATTCCCAGCATTGGGAAAAAATGCTAGTGACTGGTACTGCTACACTGAACAATTTTTGGAGGCAAAAAAGAAAAGAGGAAAGGCAGTTCTGGCCACCACATCTAGAAAAATTAATGTTTAAAAACTGCTCATTACTTGCCTGGCAAGCACAGGGTCCTGAGTTCAATCCCCAGTACCGCAAAACAAAACAAAACAAAACAAAAAAAAAACAAAAAAAAAAACCCCTGCTCATTAGAGGATGAGGGTGTAGGTTAGTGGTAGAATGCTTGGCTAGCATGGACAAGGCCATGGTTTTTTTCCCCTAGTATGCCAGGAAAACAAACAAACAAACAAACAACCTGCTTTCATATTACAAGGCAGCAGAAGAAACTTCAGGCTCAAAGCAGTGGTGAATTTAGTATTTATAATGTAGGAAACAAGAGCAAAAACTTCTGATCTAGTGATTAATTTATTTATGAATGATCACTTCTGTGAGTAGGATTACAGTATTTGGGTATTTTTTTTCTTTTTGCATCCAGCTTAATCTTGACCAAATATTCCTTTATAACTACTTTTTTCTAATCTGGAAAAAAATAAGTCTTGGATCAAACTCTCCTCCATTTGGATGCTTTCCTTAAGTAGCATCAAATGCTGAATCATCAGCAAATATCCCATACCCGTTCTGGGGACAGAGTACCAACCAGCGTTGTTTGATATAAGCTGTGGGATACTACTAGGGGCTTCTGTGGAGGTTGGGAGACTTTAAGACAAATAATGACCACTGATACTTGTCACCTCTCAAACACTATTCTTTTCTTCTTTTAAGCTACACATTGATTATTACAAAGAAAAGAGCTCTGCTGCCTGAACAAGCACAACATATGCAGCCACTCTACTTGGCCTCCCTGGAGATCACACAAGGTCCCACCCAGCACATCCAGCCAGTTCCCCCTTTCCAATCCTCTTTTCTTCCAGTGGGAAAGAACAAAGGGGTTTAAAGCACTTCATAACAAAATTTGCTCAATCTGAAACCAATGAACCTGCAGGCAGCCCAGGGCTTGTCATCCTAGTCTACCCTGACTCCCCCAGGGATTCTGCCCTAGTAGCAAAATCTACCTTGTCCCTATTTTCCAGGTAACCAACTGCCACCTATGGCTCTCGGCAGTTAAGAGAGAAATGATCTGCCTCATCTGGCAACTCATTCACTACACAAACATGGTCACTGTGACCTAGAGCAGGGAGAAGCTGGGTGCAGTTCCTGAAGACACAGCTAGTGCTCAAGCTGGTGTCTGCAGACTCTGGTCCCAGAGTACCTGCCACCCAGTTTCATACCCCAGGAATTTCCTTTATTATGGTTATTACTGGGCAGAGGATAAAGTGAAGATAGAGATTTTGTTCTGTTTAAGGCTGAAAACCAAAGCAAATAATAGCTCTGCAGATTCTGCCTGCTCAGAATGCTGCAGACGGCTCAGGTTACCCATGTCTGACTAAGCCTAATCAAGCAGAATGGCTGGGCCATACTGACAGCTCAACCCAGCTGTTCTGCACCACCACATGCCTGCAGCCTATGATGTCCACATGCATCACACACATCTGTGATGGTAAGTCTCTGCCTAGAAAAAAGCTAGTCCACAGTGCTTCCACACAACTGAAAGTGAAATGTCCACTTGATTCTATGGTATTAAAATGGCCAATATTTATAGGTTAATATTTACAGTACTTAGCCCTTTTCTTTAGTTTTAACATCACCTGAGGTCTTTCCAAGGGTATGCTATTAGAATTTAACCTCACCCTTCTATTGGTCAGCCCAACATGTTTCTTAACTTGCTCAAAAAACTCTCTGTACAACTTCTCTAGAGAGCTGGGGCAATGGTGGGTCTTGACACTGCAACAATCTTCTTTTTGCTTTTGTTTTTTTGAGACAAGGTCTCACTACATAGCTCAGGCTGGCTTTGAATTCACTTTGTAGCCCAGGCTGGCCTCAAACTCATGATGATCCTCCCTGCCTCAGCCTGGGATCACAGGTATGTCTACCACGCCCAGCTACAATCTTCTACATACCCTAACTCATCACTCTTCCTAGTCCTGCCTGAAGTAAGTGGGAATGCAGAAAATTCACTGGCCCTGTACAATCAAGATACTTAACCGAGGCAGAACTACAAAGTTATAATAGCCTTAAGGCTGTGTATCTTGATTCCCATTTTCATACATGTAAAGGAAACCCACCTGAAACCTCTCTTAGGCATTTAAAAGCCCCAAGAGGCCTCACAGAGCAAGTGGTCTGAGCAACAAGAGGGAGGTACCCAGCAAAAGGGAGACAGTCACAGCTCCATAACTGGCCAATGGGAGCATCATTACTTGACTTCTGGAAAGCAGTAATTTAACTCTCTGCAGCAGTGTGACCAGGAGAGAAAAGCCCAAGCCAGGCAGGAGGGTCTGTTTTGCATCCTCACCTGGTGCTTTCGGGGTATATGGTCTTGGTCCAATCCCTCCATATCTCAGATCTAGCTTCCTTCCCACTGAAATGCCTCTAGTCACTGAAGTCTCAAATTCTGGGAGCGCTTGTACCCCTTTATTTTGAGAGTGTGGAGCCTGTTCCGTGGGGCCTAAGTCCACCGAACCTGCAGTAGCGATGCCCAGGGCTTACCATTCAAC